GGGAGAGAAGGGAGAGGTGACGAAGAAGAAGGTGATAGCAGCCATAGCCGCCGACGAAGAAGAAGAAGCCGGCCATAGCCGAGCTCGAGGACGAAGAAGAAGAGGGTGAAGTAAACGAAGGAGGCGAAGAGAGAGAAAACCGCCATAGCCAGATGGTCAACGAGTTGACCAGCAAGAGTTGACCAGCAAGAGTTGACCAGCAAGAGTTGACCAACAAGCATTGACCGGCGAGCGTTGACCGGTACAGTTGACTAAGTTGACAGTTGACCAAGCTTGGAGTGTGGAGCGAGGAGCAGTTCAATCTATTCAAGCCCTGACACATGTCCTCTTATGCTCTGTGGATGCTGCACACTCACCTTGGTACTTGCTGCAGTCAAGTGTCTTGTAGAGTTTGTCATCTCTTTCTGCATTGAGTCACTCCTGTCCAGGTTGTTGTAGGTTACATGCATGTGGTCTGATAAAAGCTGAGGGGCCGACGCCTGCACGGGACTTAGTAGGGGTGAGGTGTATCTTACGCCAGACGACCTGGGGAAAAGCCCCCAAGGACCGGTACAGACCGGCAGGCTGCTCTGGGTGGTACACTATACCTGAGCTCCGAGCTGCAGATCGTGCATCCAGTCTGTCTAAGTCTTGAGAGAACTCTGGCTGTGATTGTCGTCCTGACTGCGACGTTAAATAATTCCTGAGGAGTTATGGGGAATCTCCTTAAATGCCTCCTGATCAGCCAGTGGTTCTGTAGTGACAGACTAGTAACCTTATAGTTTCGAGTAGTTGACAGAGGGACAATTGGAAGCCAAAGCCAGGCAGGGTTGAACTGTGGGTGCACAGGCATCCGGCGGTTGTGGAAAGATTGGACTGTGGTTGCGAAAGCATCCGACGGCAGTGGTAGCCTGGCTAAGGTGGAAGAGAACCTCTGTAGCTCTCTAAGCGGTCAGTGTCTAGGTGGGTTGGTCTAAGTGTTGAGGAGCGGAATCATTTGTGATTGTGCCCTCGTCCAACATGGACGACTACCCTATGTTCGCCTTCATGATGGGCCTCTCCCTTTGGGAACCCTTGCTTCGTTTCCTCTCTCCGTTGGTGGTGGACCATTTGTTGCACTGTGACTACTAAGTCTGGAATCCAGACCCTGCCACATAGTAGAGAACAGGACGAGAAGGCTGCCGCAATTCTTCGAGAGCAAAGGAGAGAAAGGAGAAGAAAGACTTGGAGAGACAGGCCAAGAAACTGGCCTTGCTGGAAGAAGCAGAGGCCAGAAAGAAAAAGATGGAGGAGGAGATGGAGGCGTGGAAGAAGGAACAGGAGGCGAAATTGGCCGATGAAGAAGAAGAGGAAGAAGAAAGTGAAGAAGAAGGCCCCCCGTTACAGCCGAAGAGACAGAACGAAGCAGTGAAGGGCCCAGAAGAAGGGAAGGAGGAAAGAGGAGAATCGAGTACAGGTCTACCCCCATCGGAAGAGGTTGTGAAGGAATGGGTGGCGGGACTATCCTTGGGGGAAGATAGGGAAGGAGAGTTGGCTGTCCCCCAGGCAGAAAGAGAAACAATAAGAACTACTAAGAAGAGATCTGGAGAGAGAAAAGAGTCCCCTGCGTCATCAGGCAAAAAAGCAGGAGAAGCAGTTGGAGTGGAAGTTGCGCCTCGTGAAGGAGAAGACAAGGCGATTGGAAATGGCACATAAGATGGAGGAATTGAAGGCTGCAGAGGAGCGGCTGGGTAAGATGAAAGAAGAGACAGAGATAGGGAAAAAGATCGACACCCTCTCCCATAGTATGGCCTCTGTTCTGACAGCTCAGCGAGAACCATACTTGGCGCACTTCTGCGGTGCGCCGTGCGGTGCGCATGCGCCATGCGCAAATTTTGATGCGTTCATTTTTTATTTTTATTTTTATTTTTTTTTATTATTATTTTTTTTAGGGGTGTATGTGTACACTGAGGGGAGAGAGAGAGAGAGTGCAGATTCCGTTAGCACGGCTCAAACGGCCCATGCAGGCAATCTGGAGGGTCCTCGCAGCACTAAACTGCAGACCCTCCATAAAAATCGAGGCCGGTAGTGAGTATGAAGTAGAGCACGAGTTGGCCCAATATATCCTCAGGATTGAAGTTCAGGTCTGTGTTTCAGCAGTTATGAGTTGCTCACGTAGCTAGGCAGTGTTGGTCTGCAGAGTCTGCACGTGATTCTCAGGGCTTGGCTCCACTACTCACGTAATGTGCAAATTTGCAAACTTAGAAAGAATCTACCGCAGAATGTGGAATAATACACCGCCATATGTTTTGTCTTTTGTGTATGTGGTGAGTAACGGCCCTTAGGGCCACTGCACGTATTCCTAAGAAAACGAAAACTTGAAAACAAAAGAAATAGTGACCCATAACCGAGAATCCGAGATGCACATCCCTGAATTCAAATCCAGAGTATATATTCTCTGCTCACGCTGGTGACTGGAAGTTTGAAGTTCGCCTCAGCCGCACGTAGGGTCCTAGCTAATTCGCTATAAGGGCCCTTCGAAAAAGTGGCTGGACACAATTAGGAAATGAATACTCGCATGTATAGACGAGTGCCAACAGTTTCGGGGTATCGCGTGGCCCAAACTTTTCTCCCTCTTGCTTTCCAATTTTTAGAAGTGAGGGGAGTGCTTGGCCACCCCACTCTGAACTTTCAATTTTTATTTTTTTTATTATTTTTTTGATGCGCCGCATCACGTGCGGCGCATCTCATGCGCGTGCGCTTTGCGCCGCATGTGCCGCGCCCCCGCACATGAGATGCGCCGCAAGTATGGCGAGAACAGATCAGGCACCCTTGTGGGCATGATATAGCACTTGAATCAATACGAGCCGTGTTCCACGACTTTGCCCAAGAGATGATCATTCATCTCGTAAACGAAATGCAGACCGCAATCGGTAAAACAAAGAAGTTTTGCACCAGTGCGATCGAGGGTGTCAAGTCCGCAGTCCCCAAGGAGGAAAAATCACAACCCCGCCGTGCGAGAGTCAAAGTTCGCTTCCTTGAATCCTACAGTGGGAGAAGAGGTGAGGACTTTGACAATTGGGAGGCTAAGTATTAAATCATATGTATACTTACAGAACGTGCCCCCCGACGACCATGTCTTGATAGCCTTTCAGGCCTTGAGTGGTGAAGCAACGAGTTTCGCCAGGTCTCTCTTACGAGCCGCCCGCTGCGAAAATGATATGGTCGCTTATGCTGCCATTACTAAACCCAGCAATTTCTTTGCTGCACTGCGAGAATGTTTCGCGGACATCACTAGAGGACTGAAGGCGTCCGACAAACTCCAAATGATCCATACACGGCCTTGGAAGAGTGTGCACGTGGTGAAAGCCGCTATGGACGAACTGATTGTTGTGCCTGACCATGGAGTTACAGAAGCACAGCTAGTCCAACTCTTCTATCGTGCGTTGCCCGAGCAATTGCAAGGGCACTTCTTTAACAAGAGGCAGCAGCCTGGGATGACCTACGATCTCCTCAGTAGGGAAGCTGTTGCCTTCGCCGCCCAGTCCATGCCAGTCACCACTTTCTGGCATAAGGACTTAGAAAAAGAGAAAAAGTGGAAGGGTCGCACCATCTCTAGCCAAGTTAAGGCCAAAGACAATCTTATATTAACAATGGAAGAAGGTGGTGCCAAAGAAGTCCCCTGTACTAACATAGAATGGGACTTGAGGAAGAGGACACTAGTGCAAAGAGGGGGAGTTCATATGCTGCTGTCGCGGCCGGAGGGAGACCGCAAGGAGAAGGATGAAGCCTTGGCAGAGGTCGCCAGGCCTCAGGTGATTGAGGGCAACGAGGCCAGGGGGTTAGCGGCAACAGAGATCACCAAGTGGGAGGTAGGGGTCAAGGTCCTCAGTCTAACCGCCCTAGCTCGAGTCGGTCACCTCCCAGAAGGGGTGGATGTCACCCAGGTCGGCCTGAAGGTAGACTCTGAAAACCCCTAGGCTGAGAACGTAATGTTTGGCAGGATCGCATGGACAAGTTCAAATGAAAGGCTTAGCCCGTATTGAGATGCTCGATCTTGTCGGGTGCAGCTATTGCTTGGCTTTGTGGGGGCATTGTTTACCAGCGAGACGCTGACGAACTCAAGATGGGGACCACCACCTGTCGTGAAAGGGCATCATTGGGAAGGACCAACCCTTGGTCAACCCCCAACCATGTCTACGAGATGCAGTTGAACGGATTCGTGAATGAGGTGTGAGTAGGATTAGGAACTAGGCGCATTCGGTCAGGAAAGAGAGCGTTTTCCTGTGTATTGCGTTGAATAAGAGCGCACATATCAGGGCTCGAAGAGCAGGAACCAGGCCACGAAGTGGCAACAGGACCTGAAGCCCAATCTGCGTTCTCATCCAACCTGACAGGAATCCCATTTCGGGATGAGAGCATTTGGTGGAACCGGTGAATCATTCAGGTCGAATGGGACAGAGGTAGTAAACAAGTCAAACAGTTACAACAGTAAAAGGGTTATTATGTTACCGCCTGTAAGAAAGTTATAGCATTTACTGTACTGCATCTAAAGACTCTAAACACGTTAGGCCATTACCACTGGTAAACAAGTTGCACTATCACCCAATAGACACATTACACCGCTCCTGGCAGTAAAAACCAGTTGCATCATTACCGTGGGGTCTAAGTTACAGCATTCCATGGATGTTACTTCGCAGTAGACGATAATTACAACATTACCATAGGGACCATAGATGGATGAACTCAATTTCCAATTCCCAATTCATTTTGCATCTCTAATATACTTCAGAAGCTGGACATGTCGAGGATGATAACAGGTGAGCCGAATAGGTTTGACTCTCGTGTTTAGTTCTCATGATAAGCTTTATTTCGATGAGGTTTTGAGTCATCTTCTGTGATGTTCTCCATCTCGGCTTCTGTATCAGGTTGCCATTGAGTCTGATATGGGTGTGGCTTCAAGTATGGGCTTGATGCTTAGAAGATAAGACCTTTTCATGACTACAACTTGGATGGGGTTTCAAAGCCAAAAGATCCTTCACCTTATGACCTTGGCGGGGTAAAAAGCAGAAACCCGATAGGCGTTTGCAGCTCTTTCACGATTGACTGCACGAGGCATGAGGAGACGACAGAGACAAGACATGAAACCAAGTCAGAGTAATTCCCAACTTGGGAAACCTGCATCATTCTTCATTGAAATACAATTCCCTTTCCTGTTCAATTGGGGCACCTATGAACTGTTGAAATAAATACGGACCGGAGTTCGAATCGTAAGGGACCTTGATGAATTGAATGAAATAGTTCTTAAAGAAAGAAAAAAAAAAAGGAAGAATTCCCTTTCCTGTCGACTTGTGAAGGGTCGCCAAGCGAGTATCACCTGTCACAGGATGCGGCCCAGGCCTACAGCGCAGAACGAAATAATTGAGAAAACTGAGAAGACACTCAGGCTAGGATTTCCTTTCATGCACCCGACCACCATGATCGCCACATTCAGTGAAAAGTGTACTTGTGTGAATTTGCCAGCCAAAGAAGTTGGGAGTTCCTTTCATGTACCTGACTATGCAACATGGACACGTTCATCCAAGAAGTCCTGGTTTGACTTTGCTGAATGTGTCCATACCCAAGTACATTTCAGGCCGCAACAGCCAAAGAGTTTGGCAGTGAAAAATGTTGTAGGGTAACAAGTGCCCTTACCGATTGCACGTTCGAATGGGAAAGTTGTGATCATTTGGAAAACTGCGCCAAATGCCTGCACGAGAGCAGAAAGGAAAAAAAAAAATCCACAGTCAGAGACTCGTTGAAATCGACAAATGCACTGGACAAAGTTTCCAGTCATTGAACCATCAGTCTGTAACTGAGCTGCTTTTACCCGCGGATTTTTGCAGCATACCAGTGTCTGCTGAACTTGCACCGTGTGCAATCGGCCTGACGACACCAGCCTTTCCCATCCAGTAGAAGGCTCGACATGTGGTTTTGTGGTGCGTGAACTGTCGCGCTGGAACAAAAGGGATAAATCATCATAAATCATCATAAATCATAAATGCAGATTCTTCTCCACCAGATACATATGTGTGTGTGCAGGAAGTATGTAGCACATAAGGAAGCAAATGGGGGGAAAGTGGAGGAGAATGATGACTATGTTCAACGAACAATCAAGCAGGACTTCCCAGACATGCGGGCCCAAGAACAAGCAAAGAGATATAAATAACCACCACTCTCCTTGGGCCTGTTTTCCTGACACTCGATTTCAGCCCCTCCCCTGGACTACCAGATCGGTGTGGAGAAAGGGTCTACTGGGCATCACCAGCATTTTTCGCCGGGTAGGTCGAGCCAGATCGTGGCCCCACATTAACTTGCACGGTACTGTGGGGTAAATGGCCACAAATAAAACTAGAGCAGCAATAGCTCCTACATAAACAACTAAAAAAAATCATAGCAAGGATACTAGTGGTAGTGGTTAAATAGTCCAGTGATGACTTCCAAGCAAAGTCAAGAAATGTGGGATGGAGAGGCCAAGTAAAGAAGCAATAATGCCATTCTGAGTGAGGCACCTGAGTATCTGGCACACAACTAAAAAGGAGGTTTATAGCTATGGCCTTTGTTGTTCACGGACTGGCCTGCCTGCAGGTACAGCACCAGAATTTCCCACAATGTCACCCATCCCAGAACTATTCCGGCCCAATGGCGCTTGGCTTCCGAGTTCAGAGGAGATCGGGTAAACTACCTGTGGGATGACCACACCATTGCCTTTGCTGTTTATGAGCACGACCTTTGAACAACGCGTGAATAGCAAAGGCAATGGTGTGGTCACCCATCCCTGAATATTCCGGCCCAATGGCGATTGGCTTCCATTAAATAGAGCAATGCGTGAATAGTACTGAACAGTGAATACCTGTCATCCCCCCCCCAACTATTGAACATTTTACGTTTGGCCTATTTTGAGCTGCGAAAGTAGTATACCCATCTGCCTGGCTATTTGGCATTTGCAGGCTTTGGCATTCCGGCTTACCTAGCCTGCAGAACCACATCCTTTCGACATTTTGCCTGTTTCCCCCGGCCACTATCAAACCCCAAGGGACATGCTAATGCACAGGATGACAATTCTACCATACTGTGTTGCTATCATTCATTGAGCCACTTTATCAATTACTGATTAAACCACCCAACTCCCGAGTGATTTTTCCTGCCCGTGGACTAACGGATCGTTGCAGGGGATGGGCCTGGCCGTAGCAGCCATACGAGTCACATTTGCGCCATAATTGTTTTGTTGGCGAAACAGTTCTGTTCTATTTTTCAAATTTTTATACATCCATGATCGTTTTCAGATCTTCTATTGAAGGGGATGCGAGTGAAAGAGATCACCGAAGGCGGGAACTCAATTTTTTTGCCCCCTCCCTGGAACCGACAAGCTCCAGCAGGCCGAGTCTATCTGCAGCACCGGGTTATCTGCAGGGCACAGGCCGCCTAGCTGGGCAGAATTGGGGTTGTTTAAAGTGTTGCCCCTGGCGTGCGTCTAACACTGCCATGCGTCCAGACCTTGCAGCACCATTCTCATCACCATATCTCTTGTCCTGCGTGATAAGAATCACCATTCGGGTAGTGTAGGGCTACAGATGTTGGATGGTCATCATGCCTGAGGTTAAACCGATCTGTATGGGAGGTTTCAGGAAAAGAGACCTTGTCTCTGCAACATGTATTATATTATGTGTGTGTGTGCGTGTGTGTGTGTGTGTGAGTGTGTGTGTGTGTG